GGTACAGAACAAATTAACCGAAATTAAAGAGAGGCTGTAATAAATAGCATTTTTCATCAAATAAAAACTACTTATACACTGCCTTTAAAGCAATAAACCATATAGTTATTGTCATATGTAAATAAATATTATTTATGTATTTGATTTAATTATTAAAAATAATTAATAATAATTATAATTATTAGTAAATAATTATTAAAAAATTAAATATCTAATTTATAAGCTACTAGTTTTAAATATTCTAACTTTTCTAAATATTCTAACCAACTATAGAGATGTAAAATCAGTGAAACCAATCACTTTTAAGTTGTGTTTAGGAACATGTATTTGAATTTGAAATTTGTATTTTAAATACATGTATTTTAAAATACATTGTTTGGATTGAAATAAGAAAAATGATTTTCAAATAAATGTATTTTTAAATTCATTGTTTGAATATTTTAAAATACTATGTATTTAAAATTGAATTTTTCCTATTAAATTAAATATTCTTCTTATCATTATTTAAATTTAATAAAACCAAAGTTAATAATTTTAGTCTTCTAAAGCATTATTTAAATTACTTCAAGACAAACAAATTGAAAAAAAAAAAAAAAAACAAAGTGAAACAATGACTTCTACTAATCAATTTGTCTTCATGTTCTTCATTTTTTGTTCATTTTTTCCATTGTCATACAATATTCAATTTTTTGCAAAGATGGATTTATAATGGATACGCACACAATCCACTAGCTAGAGAATAAACACAAATGGGATATGTCCAAATAAAAATAACAAACACACCTACTCCTCAATCATCATATTATATACTAGCTTAATTAAGAAGAATATCCTAGAAACTAAGAATAAGGTGATTTTTATCTAGGAAAAATGTTAGTTTTAAGGGATAATTGTTCCGTGGGAAACCTCTTGATATCATATTACTGAGGAATGTCTCTTTAACTCCTATTTGGCCTAGAAACCAAGGCTGAAGGCAAGTGGAAAAATGGTCTAGCTCTTGCCTTCTCTACAGCTTCAAGGGAAATGGGACCCTAAAACACCATGACTGGAAATCTTGAACAGCCTATGGCCTCATTATAAAATATATGTTCTTTGTTGATGGTGGCCAGTGAGTTTGGTCCAGTCTCCTAGGTGGATACCCAACCACCATACAGATACTGATTTAACCAAAACAAATGAGGTAAGTGTTTTTGTGTGAGGATATCTCTGGAAGTCTAGCTTTAACCAAGTTACTAAACTAGAACAAGTCCTCTCTCAAGGTTTCCACCATAAGAATGGAGTTTGTCTTTCTTAGAGCTAAATCCCATCCCAGTTATAAAATCATGTCTCTTTCAAGTGCTAAACAACACTATGTGCTCTCATTATAGCAAATTTAAGTACTAGAATGACAAAGCAGAAACAAAACTCATTGACACTTTGCTTGCACAAATAATACCCAGAGGAGAAGGCAAAATTAAATTGAGATAAGAAGAACCCCAATAGTAAACAATGAAACTTAGACTCAAATAGAAAAGATGATGAACAAAATCAAATTGTTGCAAAGGATTTCATGACTAAAGTTCAAAAAGCCAACGAAGAAAAGAATACCATTAGACAAGTCATTTTCAAGGACTAAAGAGAAGATTCTAGTAAAATATAAAACATGCCACAAGTTCCAAGCATCTATCATTGGAAAACAAAATACAGTAAGGTTCTCAAGTCAAGGAAACCCAATGTTGGGTTGGTCCTGTAACTTGGTAAATCCACGGAAAAGTTTCAAAATGTCACAAGCAAGAGGAGATTCCAGATTATGAAAGAGACAACAATCTCAAGCCACAATCCCAAATTCTATTTCCATTTCAAGAGAGGAACTACACGGGTAAGCAAAAAAGAATACAAGATCATACCTAAAAATTTGCTGATGACAAGAAGGTGAGAGAGCAATGGTGGAGTCGATGATGAAAGCTTCATCATTGTCGGGGAAAATAGAAAATATAGGGTTTGAAATTGAAATCCATGGTTTTAAAAATGAATTTGAAATACACGGATTTTAAGTTTTTGAAATATCCTAATAAAATACATGTATTTTATTTAAATCTAATTAGATTTTATTTAGATAAAAATAAACAATAATATTAAATTTAAAATATTCAAATTTAAATACACTCTCTTTAATTCATGTTTCCAACATTAAAGAATTTTTGTGTGGCCTTTTAATATCTTTACTAATAAAATTCATTCGAGAGAAATTAAAAAGAGGAAAGGGAGAGATACAATCTCTTTACCCACTTGAATAAGTAAAAGAATTAAAAATAATAATATAGATGATTTCATTTCTCTTCTCTCTTCTCTCATCCCCTCTTCTTCTCCCTCTTCACACTAAATATATATTATACATAGGATAACCATGGCCACCAAACGCCTAGAAGGTAAAAGCTTCTTTCTTCCCCTTTTTTTTTTTTTTTTTTTTTTTTTGGGGGAAGCCATCACAAGGTTAAGAACCATGACGGTGTTTATTGTCTAAATTATCAGTTTATTTATATATATAAATAAAAATTTATTTACATATAAATTTTACATATTATATTTATATAAATTTTTAAAAATAAATCTTAATGTATTAAAAAAATAAATAATTAAAATTTAATATAAATATTATTTATAAAATTTATATATAAACAATTTTTTCTCATATATATATATATATATATGTATCTACACTATTATAATATTTTAAATCTAATTTTTACACAATTTAAAATTCAAATTCTTACACGCACCCTCATTAATGGCTTAAAAATAACAATTTGCAATGTTAACAGTTAAGACATCCATCGTTTAAACTTTAACTCACGCCAATTCATCTCTTGATAACTTCGCCGTAACTCCGCCGGCAGGACATACTCGTCAGTGGTAGGCCCCACTCCCAGATCACTCCACCTTGTTGTCCCCCTCTTCCTTCCCCCTGTCATCTAGGGTTTTCCCTCAAACCCCTTCATTTACCATTTCCCTTTACCCCACGGATTTTTGCTCTTCCTCCCGCAAAACCTCCGTTTCCTCTCTCATCCACGGCCGCCGCCATCTCCTGGTTCCCCTCCGGTGGCAGGTATCTCCTTCCTTCCCTCTCCTCTCCTCTCATAAAAAAAATCTCCCCCAAAAAAACTAGGCTACGGATTTTCTCTCTTTCATCGTTTTTGTTTTGGTTTTATCTTAGTCTATCTCTAGGTTTTGTTAGAGGGGAGAGGGAAGAGAAAAACACCCAAAAAAAAGAAATTTTTTTTTTTTTTGGAAAAGGAAAAGGGCTTCTTTTTAGGTATGGCGCAGGTTCAGCTGCAAGGGCAGAATGCGACTGTGAACAATGGTGGAGGAGGGAATCAGTTCGTGCCGACGGCGCTTTACGTCGGCGATTTGGATGTGAGCGTTACGGAAACTCAGCTCTATGACTGCTTTAACCATGCCGGTCAGGTTGTCTCGGTTCGGGTTTGCAGGGACGTCAACACCCGTCGATCACTCGGCTATGGTTATGTCAATTTTAGCAACTCACAAGATGGTTAGTTTCAACTTCTTGTTTTGATGTGGTTGGTGCTTTGATTTAGTAGTTTGGGTAAGAATGTTAATGGCTGATTTTGTTTAAATTTAACTTTACTTTCCTTTCCGATCATAGAATAGCTGCTTGGATTGTTGAAAGTTGGAGGTTATTAAGAATTACCTTATCATTGCATTTATTGGTTGAAAATGAAATTGGTGATATGAAGGGGAATGTTTTGAGTATAGGTTGTGGTTCACCCATTTTGTGATGACTTGTAAAAATGCTGGAGTTGCCTTTGCTGTAATTCTTTCTTTATTTAACTCTTTGTTCTTATCTTTATTGCAAGTGATCATATGACAAGTATTTCATATGTGTAACTTACAAATTACTATTTTAAACATTGCTAATGTAGCTCTTTTCTTGGTTTGGCTCGAAGTCTTATTTATTGATTTGTGGGTTGGGTTATTGATGGTCCTCTATATTTCTTTGGTCTTTATGACATTGCATTAAACTTTTGACAGCTGCAAGAGCTTTGGATGCGCTAAATTTCTCTATTCTGAATGGAAAGCCTATCAGGGTTATGTATTCTCACCGTGACCCAAGTCTTCGTAAAAGTGGCACTGGGAATATCTTTATCAAGGTATAGTGGATGATAATGGGTTTTATATGACATATGTACCTCCATATTGGTTATAAATTTGTTCTTCAACTAGTTATATTCTGTCACTCTCATATTTACCTTTTTTGTCTATTTTATTTTGCAGAACTTAGATAAGTCAATTGACCAGAAAGCTTTGCACGATACTTTTTCTATGTTTGGTAACATTCTATCTTGCAAGGTAGCTACAGACTCCTCTGGCCAGTCAAAGGGCTATGGCTTTGTACAATTTGAGAATGAGGAATCTGCCCAAAAAGCTATAGATCAGTTGAATGGTATGCTGTTAAATGATAAGCAAGTCTATGTGGGACCTTTTGTTCGTAAGCAAGAAAGAGAAACTACTGCTAGCAAGACAAAATTCAATAATGTCTACGTAAAGAACCTTGCTGACTCAACAACTGATGAGGATCTGAAGCAGGTTTTTGGTGAATTTGGCACAATTACTAGTGCAGTGGTGATGAGAGACGCAGACGGGAAATCAAAGTGCTTTGGATTTGTCAACTTTGAGAATGCAGATGATGCTGCTAATGCTGTTGAGTCTCTACATGGAAAGAAATTTGATGATAAAGAGTGGTATGTTGGGAAAGCACAAAAGAAGTCTGAAAGGGAAGTTGAGTTAAAACTTCGATTTGAGCAGAGTATGAAGGAGGCTGCTGATAAGTATCAAGGGGCAAACTTGTATATTAAGAATCTGGATGATGGCATAGGGGACGATAAACTTAAGGAGCTTTTCTCTCAGTTTGGTACCATAACATCTTGCAAGGTTGTTAGCATTTCCTTTTGAATAATAGTTAATTCTTAGAAGTTTACCTGCTGAAGCCTATCTGTTAATCTGACTCTGACAGGTCATGAGAGACCCTAGTGGAATAAGTAAAGGGTCAGGGTTCGTTGCCTTTTCAACTCCAGAAGAAGCATCTAGAGCTGTAAGTATATGATTGTGTCTGAAGTTATAAACCTTATCCAAAGCTAATGGTTCTTTGTTCTTTCATAACAGCTCATGGAGATGAATGGCAAAATGGTTGTGAGCAAGCCTCTGTATATTGCTCTTGCACAACGGAAGGAAGATAGAAGAGCTAGGTTACAGGTGGGGTTTCTTAATCTATGCTTTGAGCCTTCAACTGTTGCAAGACAGAAAGTTGATGTTTCACTCAGGAGTCAGGATGATTGATTTTATTGATTTGTGTTATTCTAGGGATATCAATTGAGATGAAAGAAAATCTAAGATTGAATCATATATTTTTTTCCTTTTCATACCCCTCCCTCTCTCTGATATGGCCTTTTGGCTAATCCTTATTCGGGCTGTTGTGTTCTCCGTTATTTGATATATGAAGTCTTTCATTATCCTCTTTTGATGTGCTTGTACAGGCTCAGTTTTCCCAAATGAGGCCCTTGGCAATGGCACCTTCTGTTGCTCCTCGCATGACAATGTACCCGCCTGGTGCTCCAGGCCTTGGGCAACAAATATTTTATGGTCAAGCCCCCCCTGCTATCATTCCTCCCCAGGTAAGCATATTATTAGAGTAGCACTGCCCTAATTAATCTTGATCTGTACACAACATATCATCTAGAAGTCATGATTTATATTAATCTTGGATTTTACTTCTGTCAGCCTGGATTTGGATATCAACAGCAGCTTGTCCCTGGTATGAGACCTGGTGGGGCTCCCATGCCAAATTTCTTTGTACCAATGGTGCAGCAGGGCCAGCAGGGTCAGCGTCCTGGTGGCAGAAGGGCAGGGGCCATTCAGCAAAATCAGCAACCAGTTCCTTTAATGCAACAACAGGTCGGTATCAGTTATTTATTTCCTTACATCTTACTGGACACGCACAATGTCTTCATCTAATGGTTCTTTTGAATAGCAGATGCTGCCTCGAGGGCGTGTCTACCGTTACCCACCTGGGCGTGGCCTGCCTGATGCTTCAATGCCTGGTGTTGCTGGAGGAATGCTTTCTGTTCCATATGACATGGGTGGCATGCCCCTGCGTGATGCTTCACCTTCTCAACCAATGCCTGTTGTGGCTTTGGCTTCTGCACTTGCAAATGCTACTCCAGAGCAGCAGAGAATGGTAGGCATTATTTTCTTATTTACCTGGTGGGTTAATGGAAGAACCCATAAAATCACCTGTCTTTCTCATTGCCTTATTTTGTTTCCTTAATTATCATTATCTGGGTAAGGAGGAACGGCTGATACCTGAAATACACTTCCTATCATATATGAAGAAAAGATGGAAAGACATTACATTGTTAATTTTAGGTACCTCATACCTGTATCTTTCATGCACTTCTAATTAATAACTGACCTTGTTTGTTTATGGATGAAATATCTATAGATGTTGGGTGAGAATCTGTATCCACTTGTGGACCAGTTGGAGCCTGATGCTTCAGCCAAGGTAACTGGGATGCTTCTGGAGATGGATCAGCCTGAGGTTTTGCACTTGCTTGAGTCGCCAGAAGCTCTAAAAGCAAAGGTAGCAGAGGCAATGGAAGTTCTTAGGAATGTTGCTCAGCAGCAGCAGGCTGGTGGTGCAGCTGAGCAACTGGCTTCGTTGTCACTAAATGACAACCTTGTTTCCTGAGTTTGAGTCTCGAATTGCTTTTGTTGGGTCACCTTTATATGACTGAGTTTGTTTGCTGAAATAGGAATTGGTTTTGGCGTAATTAAACATTCTGAGTGTTGTATTGGTCATTACATTTGAAATTGTTGACATTCATTATAATTTATGTAGTGTCACGGTTTGCTTTTCAATCTTGATGAAACTTGTCTCGGCTCCCCAATTGGAGCAAAAATCATGCTCTGGAAGCACTCTTTGGTGGGGTCAAATGGTATATAGTGCAGAGATCAATGACGACTGACTAGTGAAGTAATACACCAAGCCATCATATTAAACAGATGAGAAGAGAAAATTCAGCCTGTCTGGGCATTAAAATTGTCAGATATTTAATCATAATTATTAAATGTATAAAACATAACGTAAATCTTAATTTTATTAAATTTATTATATACTTATTAGTAGATGTCTTAATATTTTTAATGTTAAAAGGTTTTAATTTTCCTTTGCCCTAAAACTATATATTAACATTTCTAATCTTGAATTAACATGTACAATATGCACAAAACTGGTGATGCGTAATTGGCAAACTGGATGCAACCTCTAGGCATATAAGCATATGCATGCATCCAATACTACATGCAAGCTTCAGAACCTTCCCTACAGATATTTCTCTACAATCAGTTCAGTTAGCACGCCGCAATCTCAAGCCAACATCAGCTTCTCGGTCACGCCAGGTTATACTAGCATCCCGTGAATTAGAGATTTGCATTTCGGAGGAAGTCCCTACATCATTTGGCTTCTCTTCTGCGTCTGCCCGATAGTCATGAAGCCTGCGGCCGATAAGGTAGCGGTCATCTCGAATGGAATTGTGGAGGTTTGTGAACCAGATATGGAATCTCTTTGCACAAAAACACAACAGACTGAGGCATAGGCATCCCAGCCATGCAAATCGGTAGACTGCAGAGTTCACCACTAAGGGGTAACCAAACACAGGAAATAACCCTCTGGCTAAGACATAAGGAACACATAGGGCTGTCAGCAGCTTCATTATGATCGGGAACACAATCTCCCGCAGCACCCAAAGCCCCTGAAGCCTAGAGAAACCACCCTCTCTCACTCTTTCAAACTTTATGCGCCAGCTTTCATCCACCAGTGGCACCATATGATCCAGCATAACCTGTTATTAACAAACGCACAGAGATGATGGGCCATCCTTTTCATGTAATAGCATGCCTACTTCAAACATCATAGTCACAAGATAGCTGTTATGTTTAATTTATGTGCGTGTGTTTCGCAATCTCATTAAATTTTTACCAACATAAAGTCCCAGTGAAAGCATGACTGGGCAACTAAAGAATTCATCTTGAATAAACATGCAAGGCAGAAAACTTTTTTTTTTTTTTTTGTGAACAATCTGTCAAGGGACGGACTCGAACCCGCCTAAGGAGGAGGGGTGGTGCACCACAATGTGGCCGGAGGTTACTTGGCCCGAAGGGCAAGGTGCTAATGTTTTTTTTTCTTTTTTTTAGTGATAGAGAGGAAACTAACAGGTTGATATCTAAAAACTGCATAGATAAGATGGCGGCATCCAATCCAATAATAAAAATTAAATTTTAAAAAAAAAATGGCACTGTCCTAAAAAGTTAGCACCGAGAAAAGGTGGTATTAACGCTCACCAATCTAGTCCAGATCTTGAGAAAAACGAGACCCAAAGCCCAATCCTGATACAATAGGAAAACTGGGCTTTCATCCACAGGTACCCGCATTGGAACAATCACTAGGAGCTCAAATAGCAGTCCAATCAAAACTGGTATTACAAAAATCTGGTAGATAAACAGTAGCATGAAGACTGAAGGGTTAAAAAATTTTCCAAGTATAATGACGCAAATTAAATAGCATAAATCTTAGATTAAATGCTAATTTTGATCCCTCAACTTTAAGGTTTGCATAATTTTCATCTCTTAACTTTTTTATGCATTTTTTTTGTCCCTTAACTATGAAAAATGCATTTTTTTAGTTTTCTTTCAGTTATTCCATTAAGCCTATCTAAATCTGCACATTTTTAATCCTTTAACTTCTAATATATGCACATTTTTAGTCTCTCAACTTTAAGTTAAGAGGCTAAAAATGTGCATATTTAAACAAACTTAACAAACTAACTAACGGAAAGACTAAAAAAGTATGTTTTTCATAGTCAAGGAATCAAAAAAGTACATAAAAATGTTAAGGGATGAAAATTGTGTAAAACCTTAAAAGTTAAGGAACCAAAATTAGCATTTAACGTAAATCTTACTGGCTGGATAACTTACCCATATTGATAAAAGGACACAGCTCTTGATAACAATGCCACTCCACTTCCAAATTTGGCTAATCAAAACCCTAGCCCTTTTTGTTCTAATGTGCTCAACAGTGTATCTAGCCCCAGCTATTGGTGTCCAAATGACATAGCTTCCAATGATGAAAGCATACAGATCTACGAGGAGAAATAGAACAAGAATCAATTGGAATTAACATCCAAAAGTTACAAACTTATTGCAACTAGAAAGGAAAAACTTACTGCAACTGCAAAGGAAAATCAATATATAAAATTTACCGTTACACTTGATTCCATGAGTAATTGGGAGAAGAGGAATCACATTGAAAAGGCTCCGCCCAAGGGAAATTGGTACTACTATCAGAGCAGAGTTAAACGCAAGTAAAGTCATCCAAGCAACCACCAGCAAGAGGACAATGCAGAGTACAAACCTGTACCTGCCAAAGAATCCATCAGCAAATTTTTTACAGAACCCAGGGAAGCAAGGAACAGGAACCAACAAAAACATATAATTCAAGAGAGAAAAAAAAGGGGAAATTGCACTTGTCCCCCATGTTGTTTGGATGGGTTCAGTTTACCCCCAAACCAAAAAATGATGCACCTGATATTGAGGATGAAATGTCAAAAATACCCCCAGATACAATATGATGAAATGTTGTTTAGGTCCTTTTTTATTTACAGGTAATTGGTTCAACCCGATAAACCCATTAGATGTTCAAGCAAATGTTAGGTTAAAGCAAAGAGGCAGAACCACAAAAAATAAAATAAAATAAGGGGACAAAGAAAGGATTCACTACCACATGATGCCCAGGTAACATTCAGAAAAATGATATGACAAAGAAGGAACTGTCAAATTGAAATCTTAAGCATCATAACTTACTCAGCATCAGTTTGTTCGTCACCATCAAACTCCTCCACAATGTTAGATTCTGAAACAAGGACACCCCTGCTAGGATCATCAGCAGCTGCGAGTGCAACTAAGGCACGATCCTGTTCAGCCAATTGCAGCACCTGCAGTCTATCCTGTCTTCCCGGCACCCCATTGGCATTTTCCTGGCCACCATTTTCCCCTGGTCTGGGCAGTAAAAAATCTGTTAACCCAAGTGCCCAGCCAACTGCAGTAAACCAGTAATGGAGAAGAGACTTGATTGTTGCCCGCAATTTAAAATGCTCTATGGCAAATGGGATGCATATTTGAAATAGAAGCATGTCAGCTGGAATTTCAGTGAATGGATCAGATACCCTGCAACACAAATCATCATATTAACAAACAGAAACATCCCTATATCAACATGACCAAAGGTGAAAAGGAGTATATGCCACTGAAACAGAAATTTCCATCTTACGATATATCTAGTGGAAAAATCGAAGGTGCCATCCTCATAGCAAGTCTTACAGGCAGAAATACCAGCATCACAATCAAACTCCCATAAACAGCAACAGATAACAGGACCCTTCGAGCGTGCTTATGAACAGGATCATCAATTAGATCACGAAAAGGATTGTAGTTTGGATCAGCAGGATCTCGAAGAAAGTAAAGAACTCCATTGCGCAGCACCTGCCAAAATCAGGTATTAAAATAACTGTCAGATGCATAACACCAGGATGTGTTAACTTCCAAACAAAGAACATAAAATAGAAGGGCCAGGAAAAATACCCCTCGAAGAAGGCTGACAAAGATGCTTATTTGTAGCATGTACACAATTCCTACAACCCAATGAACCAAAGAGCTCGCTAAAGGAGAAACTAAAAAGTACTGGTATCTATGAGAAATTGATTTTCCAAACATCTTAACTGTACAGACATCTAGCCACCATCCACACATTAAAGGAAACACCCCAAGCTCAATAACCAGAAGGAAAGCAACTTTAACCATTGTCATCATATGCCTCACTGCTGTCAAGAGCTTCTTGATGAGGGATGGAAATCCCTCCACTAGAGAAACAATACAATGTAACCTCCCCACCATTAAAGACTCACCCCTTGTGTATCGAATCAAAGCAACAATCCCAACGTAGAAGATGATTAGAGAGAATAGAACCATGTATCCAATAGCAAGAGTGGTAAACTCAGAAAGTCGCAACATCCCAACTGCTGCTCCATTCAGAGGTATACTAGTGTTGTTTGAAAATTCAATTGGTCCAGAAGAGTTTGCTTTCAACATTCCTGCAACCTGGCCAATACGACTGCTTTCTTGGTCATTAGATGTCAAATTTGTAACTGCAGTTAATGTGATGTTCACTAATGAAAGGGCAGTATCTGGAAGGGACGTTACTGCAGACAGCACAGAACCACTTGCAGAAGAGAAAAGCCAGGATACATAATACAGCAGGATCCGACCTAATGAAAATGGTACAAATATGACAACACCAAGGAATATCATATTGCTTGCAAGAACCTGTAACAGAACAATTAACTTCATTTGGGCAAAAGAAAAGGTTCTATAAGTTATAGGACATCAAGGGTTCTATAGTGATACCATGTACATCCGGCACTAACAGAATAAAACCAGTTATCAGCTCCAGGTTGCTTAACTAATCAACATCAGATTACAACTGTACAACATTAAAGATTGCCAATCCCCCCATATCATAGAGTGATAACTTATAATCTTATCAGTGGTCTTAAGTACAAAACATATTAGACAAGATATTTCAAAAGCATGAGAAATGCTAGAGCTATACACTTGAAACCTTAAACTGTCCTATCATGCCTGCAATTACCAGAATGGGAAAGTTTAATACAGAATTAACGCAGGCCAGGCACTTCAAGATAAAACAGTACAAAATAAATGCCAGAGTTACACATGTATAATTAGCACTGTTCTATAATGTCTGCAGTTGTGGGAACAAGAATAGATTTTTAAATTTTCATCCTATTAAAAAGATAAAATTTCCCAATGAATTGATAATTAAGTTAATCGCTACCATCTACCATCCTGTTAAGCACAGGAATGAAATACTCAACACAAATACAAGTCCATTATTAAAACTAAAGCCACATCTTACAGCTATTCAACCAAAAACCTAAGAACGCATTTTATATTTTAAAGCTTGAAGATGTATGTTAATAACCCTGCATCAGCACCAAAGGGTGGCAACAAGTCAAAAAAGAAGGCACAAATAGATAGAAAAGCTAGGTAGAAAAAATTAACACAGCTAAATGCCAATGACAGACTTACAGTAAACGCATTTTCTACTAAATGAAAAACAGGGCCCTGCATGCCAACAAGTTCATCAAAGGGTACATCCTCTGCACCAACACCATCTTCCAATTCAAACATCTGTTCAACATTCTCAAGACGAGCTGCCTGCACTTCCAAACGAGCAGCAACATTACCAGCATTCCTTCCAATTACTTGACCAGCTCTGCCAATTCCTTGTGCTCCATTGGCATCTTCAACATTAACATCACCAGGAATATTCCTATTAACTTGTCCAAGAGGGTGTCTTGCAGGACGAGCGCCAATTCTGTCATCTTCATCCTCTCTATCAGCCTCTTGCAAGTTCCTAAACCAATCCCTTAGAGAAGTTGCTCCAAGAAAAATAAACACAATGCTAGCAGAAAGTAAAAACCCATGCAAGCAATCGGTAAGAATATATATAGTTGAGATATGGCTCAGAAACAATTTCTGGGCTTCACCAAAACTCCTGACAAAAGCCAATCTCCAGATCCAAAATGTAATGAAGGGTATAATGAGGAGCCAAACACATAGAACAAAACTAAGCCGCAAGAAGAATTGCAGAACATGGCAAGCTTTCATTGCCATCCCATAAACAAACTCCTGGAAAGGAAGCCTTGCAGGAGCATTCTCAGCATAAACAGGGGAAAATGAAAATGCAAGTTTGCAAACCTGCAGATAATATCAATTAGGTTCTTATTACAATAACAACCTAGACAAATTAAAGCATAATACAAGACAGGGAAGAAGCAGAAGCATCTCTTGCTGGCACTATCAAATGCCATCCAAAATATGAATTGAGAAGCTGCCAGCCATACTCACTGGTGTGGGAGTGAAATATTAAGGTGCTAAAAATCTGAAAGCTATGAGAGATCCATTCATTAACTCAGCTTAGATATGTAAAATTGGCATCCAGTGCCCTACATATGAAACTGCTGTGCTCAAAACCCAAGGTTTATGATTATTCTACGCACAAAAATTTTCCTGAAATATTATAGGTTCTCACTAGCATCCCCAACTCTTGTGTCAATAAACAGCCAATCATCTAAACAACTCACCAACCAAGAGAAAGTAGTTGAAGTTGACAACCACTAATATCAATCCAGATATATGAGGAGAACCCTAGATTAAATTATAAATAAGCCATAAAAAGACATGTGCTTCAATCCACATAACAACAAAAGACCACTGGATTTATTATATCGCCTCGCATACAAACTGCAAGAAAAGTAGTTTTCTAAATGGTAAAAATGTTGATTGCACCCATTTGAAGATAACTTTTGTTACTTCATTGGGCTTGAAAAACATTATATTTCTCTTTAGAATTCTTTTCATGCAAGAACTTCTTTGCCACAAATACTGAAGGAAAAAATCAACACCTTTCCAAGTGATTATTGAAAAAATTAAAAAAAAAAAAAAAAGCGCTACATGATTTCCTTCATATTTTTATTAGCCGCTTCCCTTCTCTTCCACCCATCTCCAGCAATAGAGGAGTACTGAACCTTAGTGCTCTAGCAATAACAGATAACAAAAATTTTAGATATCTTCATAATTTTAAAAGACCAAGGAACCAAGCCTCAATGATGTTCGCCAAAACTTAAAAAAAAAAAAAAATTAATGGTCAACCCACCATAATTATACACAATTCAAAACTAAACCATCACAAAGAGAAGGATGAGAGTAACATCCTAAATCCCTAACTAGACAAGCAATCTAGGGAAAAACCAAATCTAACACAAGCTTCCCAAATTACAAGCCAGCAATTATTAAAAAGAATAAGAAAAAGAGAAAATAATATAATGCAAAAGCACTCACCTCGCATTGGCGAGCATTGCTGTGACTGAGCCATTGGAGAAGGCAACCTTGGTGCACGAACTTAATGCTGCCGCTACACGCACACGGATACCGAAGCGGGTTCTCCTCGTCTGCCGGATTCCTACAGATCCTGCACACATCCTCTTCCTCCTCCTCCTCGACCTCCACCTCAAATCCTCCCTTCTCCCCGGGCGCAGATGACGCTGCCAGCGCGGAATTGATGCTATCTGAGGCAGAGGAGGTAGAGGTAGAGGTAGAGGCGTCACCACGGACGGGAAGAGGAGGTGGAGGCAGCGGCCCAGAGGCGATCTCCATAGACGGGTTGGCTCAGTGAGTTAGGCTGCGGGAGCGGAGCTGGGAGAGTTTCGGGAAAGAGCAACTGGTGGTTACCTTTCCAGTGGCAGTTCAGGTTCGCGTTCGATTCGTTCTTTGCGTAGAACAGTTGGTCGTGTTTTCCAGTTTGCCCCAGTGGGATAACGTGGACGTCAAGGACCTGGTTGTCTTTGTCTTATTTCTCGAAAGGTACTAGTTTGTAACGGCTATGGTTATTATAGAGAGAGAGAGAGAAAATGTTGAGATGACCAAAAAA